TCCAACAAGAAGGAAAAATTAGAAGGACCTACTTTATTTAGTATTAGTACTATTTAAATGGATGTTAAGGGTCAACATATAAAGTAGGATCCAGCAATGGTGGAGGAAGTACTCAGATCTTTTACTTAAGTAGAAGTAACAATACCGCAGTGGAAAAATTTCCAGTCATCTCCCTCCCTGTGACCCTCTAAGTGGTGTAGATGATGGATGGGTAGCCTTTTCATCTGTTGTCCCTGACCAGATGTTAAAATGGTACCATGAAGTAGAATATAATGAAAACTCTTAAAAATTCAAAGATGTTAAATGATAATAAACATTGCCACAGTATATAACATAGTAATTAGCTAGTAGAGAGTACATCAATATTAGTTACAGTTATTAGAATGTTACAGTTGAACACTGTCTAATTGCTGGTGTTACTTTGTCACTATTGTGTAGAGTTTATTAATAATTTGCTCATTCTGTGTCTTGCACATCTCTCTTGCAGAGGATATGTGGTTGTGTTGTCTTTGCAGCAGAGCACAGACAGGCCCACGTAGCTGCACAGTGGTTCTGCCTTTTACATGTGTCATCTTCATTTTTCTTGGCTCTGAATCCATGTTGTGCTGAATTTCTAAACAAGTACAAACTACTCCTAAACCACACCCAACAAATCCAGAATCACCTAAACTTAATCTGGCATGTACTGTTGTAATGAGGAAAAGATGCAGACTACAAAATCACTGGTTTGTCCTGATTTATTTCTGGCTTTATGTGGACAGAAACTCAGCATCTAATCATGAAAATAGTTCAAGCTCTCACAGAGAAGTGAGATGAAGCCATATGAATTTAACACATTGGAGCTTGGTGGAAATATGTTGGCACCTGAAGAGGGAAACTGTGTAAGCTGAGACAACCAAATATATTATGTAAACACACGTGTGCAGAATTCACATGTGGGTTTTCACATTTCCCTCAGGGCAGATATAACTAATTTAGTTACTGTTAAGGACAGAGCGCGATAATGATCGGGTTTCAGGTACAACTCTGCCACATATCTGCATTTACAGGTTCTATTTTTGAATTGAAATCTTTGTTCACACCTCAGTCCTGTGGCACTAAGTCCCATTACCAGAGCAGGGCCTGTCAACCTGCTGTCATAACAGCAGGTAACCCTGGTAACGCTGCGCTCCTTGGCTCGATTTTTGCAAGCTAGACATTTCTTACAGCTAGAAGAAGATTTTCCAGCACTGGCAACATGTCTGCAATGTCAAATTAGATATCAGCTCTCCAGTAATATTTACCTGCTAAAACTGTACAGTGTTATGGTTACTGTTTGTCCTGTCGAATTTCTCTGTGTAATCTGCTGTTTTAATGCAGCCAGTCCACAGTCTAGTCTGAAAGTCTGATTGGGTTTTCAGCTTTTACAGGATCATGTTTTAGGGATTCTATACATTTAAAAATTTTCTTTCACCTCTTTGAACATATGTTCTTTTTTGATTTCTCAGCTCTTTGGGTCCTTTTTGAAACATCAGTTTATTCTGTGGATCTTAAACGTCTTAGAAGATGCTCTTGCTAATTTATAAGAAGCTTTAGTGAGTGAGCCTTTTGAAAAAATCATGATTAAGATAGATTTGCAGGAAATTATGCAAAAATTGACACACCACTATATCTAACATTTTGAGTTGTCATTCTGAATATGATCAGCATATTTTCATACCTTTATTAAAACTGGTGATGCTGTCTAATATGGCACACTTTATAAAAGGGTTTATTAGCTGTGACTAATGTCATTATTAATTATCATTAAATCATTTAAGTTGCAGATGACAGGCAGCAAGAGGGAAATGTAAACATATTCTATTGTCAATTTATTAGGTACACCCAGCTGTATTAGAGAGGTGTTGAGTCCTCATTTGGTATTTTGATGAAGGTGGGGGACACACTGTGTAACACACCGCTCCAAAGGTGTTCAACTGGGTTGATATCTGGTAACTGTGGGTGGGTAGGTAGGTAGGTAGGTAGGTAGGTACTTTACTGATCCCTCAATGGGGAAATTTCAGTGTTTCAACAGCAATGGAGAACAAACAACATAACACCATGAGAAACAAACACCACACACATATCTTGATAAACAAATTTCAGTACCTCAAGCAGCAATAGAGAACAGACAGCATAACACCATGAGAACAAGCACTGCACATACATCCTGATAAATAAATTCCAAGTACTCAAAAATAGACAGAATCAAGTATTTGAATAATCAAGAACAGAATTTACATATGTGCATATTAACCATGCATTTTACCCCAGGATTTGAGTATTGCACCTCAGTTGACTATTGCATAGTCCCTCATACTTTCACCTAGCTTATCCCTGCAGTGATGTATTGTACAGTCTGATTGCTGTGGGGAGGAATGACCTATGGCAACGCTCCCTCTTATACTGGGGATGTAACAGTCTTGCGCTAAAGGAACTGTTCAGAGCCTCCTCTGTGTGGTGCAGGGGATGGGAGGGGTCGTGCATGATGGATGTTAGTTTTACCAGCTGTATCATCATATGCTGTGAGGGCCACAGCATATGATTCACATCATTTTCTTACTCATCAAACCATTCAGTGACCTCTATGTCCTATGGTTGGGGGCACTGTCATCCTGGAAGAGACCACTCCTTTATTCAGGGTTTTATCATCATTTGATCAAACCCTTCCACTGGACTGCTTGAGCAAAATGATAAAAAATGATGACTCTGGGCCAAAAGTCTTGTTTACATTTACACCTCAAGGCCTGTTAGAAAGTGGGAAACTCATCAGCGTTTATTACAGGCTTACTAAAATGTATTACTGTGTATAGAATATGAACTTCAGCCAAAGGGACTTTTCACAACCTGTCACCCAAAAAAGTTTATTATTAGCAGCTCATAACATATATATAAAGTAATAACCATAAAAAAGCCATTAGATACACCTTATGGTCATTAAGAGTGCCAACAGTCCTTAGGGCCAGTGGTGTCAATGCAAACTTTGTTTTGGTTTGACTGAGAGTGATTGATCTGAAGCCCTTCAGCAAACACACTGATGTAATGTTCGGGTTACAGTCTTTCAGCAAAATAACTAGAAGTTAAATTTGAAAAATGTTTTTAAGAGAAAAACCTACTGTGTCAATGTTTCATCTACCACAAAGAGACTAGAACTGCTCCCTCTCTTTTTTGTTTTTCACCCTATTCATCCCTGCTGCTAACACCTAATTACCATAATTCACCCCTTACCTCTCAGCCAAGAAAGCTGTGACTGCTGCTGCACACTGTTGTCCTAGCAAAAAATAAATGAATAATGTAATGGTACAGTATCACTGCTTACTGCTGCAGGGAGGAAATTGAGGAGGTAACAGAGAAAAGCAAGTGAAATGATTTTGCCTTATAACTGAAAAAACCTGTTGTAGGGAACCTGTGTGTGTCTTTCCACTGCTTATCTCTCTGTTATGTGTTCAGTTTTTAATGTCCATAGCATATTGGAGCACTAATGAGTTGTAGGCCACACATCACTGATCATTGTTTTTGTCAGACTCACTAAATAACCAACACCTAGTAACTACTTACTCTATATGCTTCTCATATCTAAAAGCATGCAATGATCCCTGCCTATATAGGTCCCCCTCTTCATAGGGAGAATCCCATCTCCTCATGGAAAGTGAGCCAGAATACAAAGGCACGACTCGCCCTCACTATCATGCCTCTCAATGGTGGGTTCTGAACCCTGTAATTAGCTAAAGATACTTGCTGCTGTCCTCCTGAGTGTCTTTCTGGCACCAGCTTTTTCACAACAGGTGTTTACTCCCTTCCAGATTTGATGCGTGACCAGAATTTAGTTTGCTCGCCCTGAGGCGTGACCGTGCAGGGTGAACAACACAAGCCAAAGCGAATCTCACAGCGTGACCACTCTTCAGATTGTTTTTGATCATTCCCACAGAAAATTACACACATTTTTTAGAAACGCATAAAGCAGAATAACCGCTATTTATGCTATCTAATCGTAAATATAATTTCCTCTCATCAAGATGGATGAACTAAGATCTAATAACTGTTTCCATTACACTCTGACTTGATTATTACCATGCGCGACTCTGATTTTCTTCTTGTTTTGTGTCAGCACACGATCAGTTAACTACATCTGCGCATCATAAACTGCATTGATCGGGTTGGACAGAGGTTAGGAGAGGTGATTTGATCCTGTCGCATTAGGAGACACTGTTGTCTTGTCTCCTTCTGTTCTTACAGTGCAGGGGAAAAGAGAGATGGGTCCCTCACTGCTCCATCGCAGACAAGTGGAACAGTGGGCTTTCTTTTCCTGTGCGTGACACGTTGTTGACAGCTTGTTTTGTTCGCGATGTTTCGCGGAAAATGTTCTGGGAAATGTTTTTTTTTCCGTTGTCAAGTTACGTATGCAGTAGGATAGTGCTCTTATGGTAGGTGGTCAACAGAGAAGAGGAGAGACGAGGCAGGAGTGATGTGCTCTGAATTAGTCAGTGGACTGTTGCTACTTTATAAAGACCCATGGATCAACCTGCTCTTCTGCTTTTCCCTCGGGGGACCGAGGATGGCTGAAGACGTGACTTGTTGCAGCTTTTATTTTAGCCTTTAGTGTTAGGATGGATAAAACTCTGCAAAATAAAACAGTTTTTACAGCTTCATTTAAGACGACGGATTCCTTAAATGAAGGGGGATTAAATTGCTTTTTGGATTTGTGTCCATTTTTACGCAGAGCGCACTTAAAAGGGGGGCGAACGACGTGCTGCTTTGACTGGGCTCCTCACTGGAGCGGCTGAACAAAAATCCGTAAATGTTATGAAGTTTGAGGACTGTGAAAGTGGTGTTTGTGCGAATTAAAGTGACGATGGACTAAAACTGGTCAGGATCTCGCCGCCTGGCTGCTGTCACAGGGAGCGTAGAACCGCGCCCTGCTTTCTAGGAGAGTATAACCTCCTTTCCCTCGTCTTCCCTCCTGTGTGGTTTGCCTTTGACAGAATGGCCCGGTTTGGAGACGACGTCCCGGGTTTGTTGAGTTCAGGGGATGGAGGGTCCGAGCGCAACCGGAACCGCGATGGGGCGGCTGTGTCCACAGGTGGCATCTCCCCTGCTTTCAAGCAGACCAAAGCGCAGCGTGCTCGCACCATGGCCTTGTACAACCCCATCCCCGTCAGAGAGAACTGCTTCACCGTCAACAGGTCCCTCTTCATCTTCGGCGAAGACAACATGGTCAGAAAGTACGCCAAGAAAATCATTGAATGGCCATATCCTTTTCTGCTTCATGTTGAAAATGAAGCGGGTAAGGTGTGAAATATAAAACACACTCATCAAATATGTGCAAGGAGTCATGTAGGAGTAAATAACAAAAAGGTGGGTAAACAGCCTAGTAACCACAGAGAATGTTTTCATTTCATGACCCCCAAACGGAACAGCTTTTTATGTTTCTAGTACTGTACACAATTTCACATGAAGCCAAATCTATTTACCATTTTGGCCCATGTTTCTTTGTAGGGCACAGGATTTCAGCACCATGGACAGCAAACAAAGACAACCACCACACATACACGTGCGTGTGCGCGCCCATGGCTTGAAACAGACTAAACACACTACCGCAGCGTGAATTTAGGAATTAACAAAGAACATGATGAAACAACCACTAAATCAGATTTATCAGTTTAACGGCACTAGTTTACTATTTTGTAGAAGACTAAACCAAAAATGAGTGAAATGATGGGTCCGTGTAAGTCTGACAGGTTGTGACAATAACTATATCTACACAAAACGTGCTGCAGGGGTGTCAATGGAAAGGGGCTTAGAGGAAGGCAGAGACGTTTCTATGTTTATGGCTGTAAATCTTCTCTGTCAACAAAAAGCTATGAAGACTGATGTTCCTTCAGGTCTTTCCTGAGGAGTTAAGCACAGTAAATACAGGAAACTCAACTTGTTGCATTAATCAGTCAGTTCATTGATTGGCCAGTCAACAGAAAAGTAATTGGCAACTATGTTGATCACTGATTCATCATTTTGGTAATTTGTTTTAAACAGAAGTGCCAAACATTCTCTGGTTCCTGCTTTTCCAATATGAGAATGTTTGTGCTTATTAACCGAATATCTTCAGGTTTTGGACTATTGATCTGACCAAACAGGACATTTAAGGACTTTGGCAAACTGTGACAGGATGTTTTTATACTAGTTTATTTTGAGTTGCTGCCCTAATTTGTGTCTGCCACTGTCTGCATATATATGCATTAAAATTAGAGAGTGCCGTCATCCACATTTGTTTGGCATAACACCTCATTTATACAATTTTCATTTGTGATGGTACATTACTGATAATTTGGCAAATTTTTCAATAGAATCACTCTTCTGTTATTGAAAAGGGAGAGACTGTTTTTCCTCTGCCTGTTGCTGAGGAGGATGGCCAAACGCAAATGTCCATTGGTGTTGTGTTTATGCTGCCGCTCGCCAGGTGTCCGGGCCAGGTGTGGCCTCTTCTCTGTTATTGTGCTGCTCCATTCAGCAGCTTCCTGACTGACTGGCTGGCCTACTGCTGATTTGTAAAAAAAAAAAAGAAAAAAAGAAGTGTGCTTCTATTGTTGATTGCTGGCTATTGTTGCTGTCTCTGGGTGGTTAAAAATAGAAACGTGATGAATTTCAGTCAACAGGTGAGGGAAAAACCTTGACATATGTGTGCTGGTTATACAGATATTTCAGCCCTGCAGTGGTTGAGTCACTAGCAATAATATTGCTATAACATATACTAGACCCAATAACCCCCAGGTTAATGTGCTGTTGTAGATGGAGTGTCTCATTACATCTAATGAGCTCCACTGTATCTGATTAACAAACACTAACAGGAATAATGTGTAATGAAGTCTGATCGCTGTGTCATATGCTATTACAACCAGTCATTACTCACTGAGTCATACTGTATTATATTGTTTGCTAATATGGTTTTGAAGAGTGATGGTGAGCTGAGTGATGCCGTGTTCTGGTCAGTATCCACTGTGGCTGTGATGAGTGGCTCAGTCCACTTATATGTGAATCATGCTTAGAGTGTGAAGATTCATACACAGCAAACGCACAAGTATGAGCACATCTTGTACATGTAGGAACGCGTAAACATATTGACACATGCACATTTTATGGATCTAGAGCCAGTAGTGAATTAGATTATAATAGACTGGAAATAGCTCCTCTAAACTTCACAAATGTACATGTTATATCTTGTTTGTTTAATTTGTGCACAAACTTTAAGTGTGTAAACATCATGTTGTGCTTTTATGGTGCTGGACTGTTTCTTGGCTGGGAGCACTGATTTCCTGGAGTCCATCTTTTAGTATCAACAAAGTTCTTCCGCACCATGGAACCTTAGTGACAGGTGTGTGGGGTCAAAAGTTCTCACCTTGGAAACAAAGCAAAGAATCCTGAACACTGTCCGTCACTTGATCTCACGTTATAGATGTGGTTTTACGGGCTGGGCACTGCGCCAGAGTTTTTGCTTTCTTTCTATTCCCATGGGCTTGGAAATTGAAAACCTAATTAAAGGAACTATCTGAGTGATGTGCGTGCACAGACATGCATATTGTGAATTTTTAAATCTAGCTGTGAGAAACAGGCATATTTCATTATTTTCTGACATTTGGTTGATAAAAATAATTGAGAAAGATTGGCTAATTAATCAATAATGAAAATAACTGTTAGTTGCAGCCCTTACTAAAACCGGTCCTCACAAACATACAAATACAAGAGCACACACAGATGCACACGTACAGTCTCTGCAGGACATCACGTAAAGGTCAGCCTTGTGTTTGCAGCACATCTTACCACTGTTGCCTCGCCTTTAGAAGCTCCTTTTTTCCTGAGTGCTAAATTAAGAGCAAACAATAAGTTTGCGAATTATCCAGAGGTTTTTGCATTTTGGGTGGGGAGTGGTGTGTGTGGGGACTTCACAGAGCGTATTACACTTTATTTTTACATTTATTTGGGTAATTATTCACTTGTATGCCTCTGTGCAAGCCAATAGGATGATTAAAAGTGTATATGTGTGAGTGTGATCTACCTGGGGCCTGGCAGGGAGGCAGAGGCAGGGGCTTGTGAAGCACACGGCCTGAGTTTAGTGTGGCAGGTGTGGTGGGGACTGGCAGCTGTTCCTCCTGTCTGATCCCCACTGGGTCCCCCGCAGTGGGAAGTTTCCCATTGAGAAAGTACACCTCTTAATAATTGATTGTTGAATTTAAAAGCGTGTGTTTCATCGGGGCTTACAGAAATAACCATGTGAGAGTAGGAAACGCTTGCTGGTTGTCAGATTTTGTTTTTACAGGTGAAACAGTTTTGGTATTTGATAGGGAAGGTCACTGCATGCTCATTTTTAAACTGTTTTATTCTCAGTGGAAGTGAATTCAGTGAGCCTTTTTGGTTGTGAATTCTGTGTGTATGGCCCTAGAGTCGGCTCAAATTTGAAAAAGACCATTAATTCCCCTCTAACTAAAAGGCACCCTTGCATGAAAAATGGAAATTACCAGTGAAATGGCCCAAGTGTATTTATAGTCCTCTCATTTATTTCTAATTGCAAACCAGTTTTTTTGCTTAGTGCTTGCTTTTTTACTCCTTTAATGAGCGCAAGAAAACACAAAACCAGCAGACATAGCCATGATCTCTTTTGTTTTGCCTTTATTAGCTCAAGGTTAAATTACTGCAGTGCACCCTTGTCTCGCCTCAGAATTGTCTATTGCCCAATACTAGGAAGTGTGATCATATTACCCCTGTTCTGACAACTCTACATTGGCTTCCTGTTTGTTTTAAGATTATTTTAAAGATTCTAATATGTTTTCAAAGCTCTACATTGTCTGGTTCCAAGTTCGTACACTGTTACACCCCATGACGATCTCCTAGAACCTCTGACCTGCTTCTTTTGGCTGTATCTACTGTAGGTCTTGACTTAAATCTGCAGGAGAATTAGAGTCTTTGCAGCGGCAGGTCCTAAATGATGGAATAGCCTTTCCCTTGATTTTTGGTTGGGCCCAGATTTAGAGGTGTTTCACTCCCTCTTTAAAACTCATTTATATAGGCAGATGTCCCACTCCACTACTAAGTAGGGTACCTGTATCCCTGTTTCACTATGTGTTATGATGTTTGCCTACTTTGTTCTATTTGGGTGCATATTATTGCTGTGTGTTTTATTTTTATTCTTTTCTTTCTCGTACTGTGAAGCACTTTGTAACCTTGGTTTACAAAAGTGCTATATACAAACTTGCTTGCTTTCGCACTGACTCAGTCTGCTGACGGAAAGGTCAGGTAACCAGTCTCCCAACAGACATCCCATCTATTCAGTTTGAATTCACAACAGAAATTTAAGATCTAGTGTGTCAGTGTTTTCTTGCCCCTGGTTTAAACAGGGTTAATGTTTCTTCAAGTGAAGATTACACCCCAGACTTCCTTACATAGACTCACAAACACACAATCTGCAGACAATTCATGGAAGTGCTGTTCAGATGCCTGCAATTCATTTACATATTCAGTTCTTTGTCTTATAATAAATACAAGGGTTTGGATGCAGTCTCATCTTGAGCGTGCTCACAGATGCACAGGGTATCACACTCTGTCTATTTTTATATGGATGTTTGAGGAATCGAGGCAGTGTGCCAGCGTCACTGTGGCTCACAGGACCGCTCACGAGATGCTTCGCTGCTAACACTGGTAGACGATCCATGATCCACGTCACACCAGCTGACATCCAGAACAGCTCAGGGGAGGGGGAAATGGTTTTCATTAAAGACACTTGTTGAATTTTACAGGAGTATTATATGGAGAGAATTTATAAAAATCTCTGTGGACGTCTGTGAGCACGAGTTATACTGTATCAGGTGTGATTCATTCCATGTTTGGGAGTTTGTGGGCAAATGTGTCAACAAATTTATAATTACAAAGTATCTGAATGCATTCAAGAAGGTTCCAGGTTTGAGCCCCAGCTGACCCGATGTCTTTCTGTGCAGAGTTTGCATATTCTCCCTGTGCCTGTGTGGGTTCTCTCCAGGTACTCTGGCTTCCTCCCACAGTCCAAAGACATGCAGCTTAGGTTGACTGGTGACTTTGCAGCGGCAGGTCCTAAACTATGGAATAGCCTTTCCCTTGATTTTTGGTTGGGCCCAGATTTAGAGGTGTTTCGCTCCCTCTTTAAAACTCACTTATATAGGCAGATGTTCCACTCCAGTACTGAGTAGGGTACCTGTATCCCTGTTTCACTATGTGTTATGATGTTTGCCTACTTTGTTCTATTTGGGTGCATATTATTGCTGTGTGTTTTATTTTTATTCTTTTCTTTCTTGTACTGTGAAGCACTTTGTAACCTTGGTTTAGAAAAGTGCTATATACAAACTTGCTTGCTTTCGCACTTGCTTTCAGTCTGCTGATGGAAAGTTCAGGTAACCAATCTCCCAACAGACATCCCATCCATTCAGTCTGAATTCACAATAGAGATTTAAGATCTAGTGTGTCAGTGACTTTAAATTGCCTGTAGGAGTGAATGAGAGTGTGTGGTGTCTGCCTCTCGCCCAGTGTCAGCTGGGATTGGCTCCAGGATAAGCGATATAGATAATGGATGGATGGATGGATGGATGCATTCTTAAGGTTGCAGAAGCAACCTGCTCAATGGATACAATGGCTATGAGTATATACTCTATGAAGAGGGTAATTCATTTGTGATAAGGCAAAGCAAAGAATGACCAGTTCTGCTGTTCCCTCAGCCCTACAAAGCTCATTAGCATCCCTTAGCTCCTCAATTTGGCTTCTCTGCTTTGCAACTTGGCTGTTTTGATTTGCTCTCACTGCTGTCATAGTTTAGCTTACAGCCATAACAGGCAGCAATTTTCACCAAAAAAGATTTTTAACTCCTACAAAATTAATTTTTATTGCAGGTTGGAGGTGCTTTGACATTGAAAAGTATGGGCACTTTTAGGTAGAGCAAAGACATCACGGCATCACAGCAGTAGTGAAATGTTCATATCATAAAAAATATAGAATTAACAAAGTAATTGTAGGAAATAAAAATCTTTATGAATGTATCACTTTACTTCTGATTCTACTTTTAGAAAATCTTTCAATCTAATCAGGTTGGTCACATTTTGTAGGTGATGGTTTGACAATAGCTTTGTTAAAAATGTCATTTATTTGATGGACAATGATCTGTTATTGCTCTTAAAGAGTTTTCATGAAGTGGTTAAAAGTAATGTGTTAGCATCAAGATGTAGCTTCTGTGTGTGTGTGTGTGTGTGTGTGTGTGTGTGTGTAACCACAGAGGGAGTTCAGCTGCCCAGTGACCATCTTGTAACACTGACTTTTGGCTGAATGAGAAGCCTGTTGCCGTGGATACCTCTCTCTTTCTAGCCTCTTTTCTCCCCTTTCTTAACTCTCTCGCTCCCTCTCTCTTCCGTCACCTCCTCTCCACCCTCCTCCTGTTTGTTGTGTGTCTGAGGGAATGTGGGGTGTGGCGAGCGGCTGCTGCTGAGAGCTCTCGTCTCACTGGGGCTAAATTGATGGCAATTATTGTAGCCGACTAAATCAAAAGATAAGCTTCACTTCTGAAAAGAGAAGAAGAAATGTGAAGACACTTTCTCATCTTGAGGCAGATATTATGACATTAAGCCATTTTTCGCTGATTGTTCTCTTGCTCATCAGCTACTGGTTGCTGATGGCTGGTATGGTTTTGTGTTTCCAAAGCCTCTTGACAATTAACTTGCAACCACTGATTCAACACATGACACAGCTGAGGTTTAAGTCAGAGCCCCTGTGGGCTGGTGGGAGTAAGATTGTATTTGCTCTGTTTATTTAGCTTGGCGTTGTTCATATGTCCCTGAGCAACCCTGCTGGGTAGAGCTGCCAGCACAGCATTGATCTGTCCAGCGTCAGTCTTATTTGGTCTCACTGCCTCCTCCTCACCCAACCTGTTTCACCAGCTTCTGACTCTCTCTAGAACATCATCCTCTCTTCCTCTCGTCACTCTTCATCCTTATTATCACTCTGACTCGTGTCATTCTTTCATGTTATCTCTTTCTCCAGCTTTCCTTCCGCTCTCCTTCCCTGTGCCCTCTCTGCAGACATTAGCTTCCTTCCTTCCTACCTCTTCTGCACATAACCAGGAGAGAGGGGACTGCCCACGCAGAGCGTTAGACAGCTCAGCCCCAGAGTCACAGGAGTTGAACCGGCAACCAATACAGGTCCCATAGGACAGGCTTTAAAGCTTGTAGTGAGAGTGACCCTGTTTATAGGATCGCATTTTCAGCCCACCCACTCATCCCTCCTTGATAAACCTTCTGTTGGCCCAGTGTGTGAATGTTTGTTGCAGCTGACCTCAGATAAGGTTCAGCCTGTGTCTGGTTGTGTCTACAGCCCCAGGGCTTCTAACATGTCAGGTTAATTCTGTTTCATACAGAAGAATTAAGGTTATCCCATCCCTCTCTGCGTATGTGACAGTATAATAGCAGTGCTGCTGAACTTGATTTATTACAGTTAACTAAATTATTATTTCCAGTCCTGAACTGTATCTGAATATTTTTCTGCCTATAAGAATCAGTGCACTCTGTGCCATATAGATGTCACAGTATGATTTTGTATGTGTGCATGTGTGATTTATTGTGGATAGACCACACTTGTGATTTGACTGTGACCTACAAACATCTTTGGAGCTTTCTTTGCTTCTATTTTCCTTTCTGTGAAAAATCCATTTCACCTATGCAATGAAGCATATTCAAAGCTCTTTACACTATTTCCCATTCACCTATTTGTGCACACAAGCGTTCACACAATCACGGCACAGCCAACAGGAGCAACTTGGGGTTCAGTATTTTCCCCGGGGGCACTTCAACATGTGGGCTGGAGAAGCCAGGATTTAAACCACCAGCCCTCTGGCTGGGAGACAGTCCTGCTTTACCTCCTGAGCCACAGCTGCATTTTAAGAGTGGTGCTGGCATTATACGTTGTACTTTTTGTGTCTTATTGTCAGCAATCCCATGAAAAAAACCAACACTATCAATGAATTGCTCCTCATATAACTTATTCCTCTGTACCATAAAGCTGCACATAGCTTCCAAGAACTAAGCACCTCAGTGAGTCATGTTGCTTCAATGGGCAATTTATTCCTTCATTACTGTGTACTGTACATGGTCACTGAGGTTTATACTGAGTTGATACCACATACACCATCCTACTGTTGGAATTACCCTTCACTGGACCAATTCTGCAGCTTAAATTTGTCCCTGCAGTAATAGATGCGCTATTTACAGCCTTTTTGAGTAATAGTACTGTGTGTTCAGTGGGAACAAATAGGCTCAGGGCAGAGAGCCTCAGAGTGCTGACGGACTGACTGAGGTATGTAATTTACAAACTACACCAGGCAGTCAACATGAGGCCAGTTAAAAGTGTGATAAGTTCCTTAACTTAATCCTTCCACTCCATTCGAGTACATGATCCTCGCCACCATCATTGCCAACTGTATCGTCTTGGCTCTGGAGCAGCATCTTCCTGGAGAGGACAAAACACCCATGTCCAAGAGACTGGTGAGATACTCACACATGAAAACACCTGTACACACAATTCAGACACTTACAATCCTCTGTCAAGTTGATACAACTAGAAAAAAAGTAAAATCTTCCTCTGATGGAGCCTTCAGACTTGACACATGAACAGTGCTTCCTTGTCAGTTGAGTGTGAGCTAATAATCATTGATTACCTTGCTGCACTCTTGCTGTGCTCTAACAGGAGAAGACAGAGCCGTACTTCATTGGGATGTTCTGTTTTGAGGCTGGGATAAAGATCATCGCCCTGGGCTTTGTATTTCATAAAGGCTCCTATCTCAGAAACGGCTGGAATGTTATGGACTTCATTGTGGTCCTCAGTGGGTGAGTTGAACAATGTTTGTGTGTGTGTATGTATATTTAGATGCAGATCTGTGAGACAATTTTTTTTCCTTATCTTAATTCTTTACATTATTTATGTGTAGCTAGCAGTTATTTCTAGCTTTGGTTTGGTTAGACAAAAAGCCTGCTTCCTTGTTGCTTGTTGGTCTGTAACACATACACACTGGAAAGTATGTGTGTCCTTTATTTTTTAATTTACACTGCTACTGTATATCATAAGTGAACAAGGACCAGTAAGCAAAAGTGTTAAATGGATTTGGTAACCTCTATCAGATTATCCTCATAGTAATGTATGTACTAAATGTCTCAGTATTCTATTAAGTGAGTTTCTTTCACCTCACCTTGACACTCTGATCATTTCAAGGTCGGTTTTGTTTGGCATGAGTTCCCCTTTTCCAGGAGGCCTTTTCTTGTAGTTGGTTCTCACTCCTATCACAACAAGTCAAAGTTGGAAAGTAAATATAGTGCACCTAGTAACAAATAGGTAGGAGTTTAGCTTTAACTTTAACCTGTTGCTAGCTGAACAACATGTTAGGTCAACCTGAACACAGAAGCTGTTGTGGACTGAGCTACAGTGATGCCACAAGCATTTAAGGGCCGTTGTGAGATGCAGTTTGTACACAGTCACCTCAATCTCTGTACTTACAATGCATTAATTATTGTTAAAATCCCAGGGGTGTTTAGTTTATCAGCTGTGTGCTCTGTGGGGGAAAGGTGTTACATTAAAAGCCATTTTGCAACAGTTACCATCTCAGGAGAGGTGCACGCCTGGTTGTGTTTATGGTTTCAAAGGAGGAGCTTGATGGAACAGCAGGTTAATCTCGACTCCTCTCTCACATGCATGCACACACATACTGTACAGTCACACACAATAATGAAATATTAATCAGTTCACAGCGCAGAGGTACAAAAGGTGGCCGACAATTCTACATGATTCTGGCTGTTAAATAATTGATGAGCTGAGCTCTGCTTCTTAACAATATTCCACTCACTGTTGGAGAGAGGAAGGGTGGAGGAGAAAGGAGGAAGAGAGATGAGTATGGGGGAGGGATGGCATAAAGAGAGGTGCTGTGGAAGGTGATAGAGAAAGGTATATGGTCAGAGAGCATCATGCCTCCCTAGCCTGTTGATCAAGTAGTGTTTGACCCTGGTAAGGACATTCAACCCAACAGCAAGTTACTATACAACCAAAATTAGAAGCTTAATTAAAACACAGTGAGACAGACATATGTTGTTGGATCGTTCTGATCTCACTTGTCTGAATGTCGACAGAGAGGAAGAGGCCACAGAGGGTGGAGGTTCTCCCAAGGGTGAAAGATGCTCTAATCAGACTTTACCTTTCAGTGAGCTCTAGGTACAGAACAGGCAGCTCTTACTGATGTGTTGGTTTCCTCCAGTACAGTGGTCGGTGTGTGCTGAGACTGAAGTCATTTAGTCAACACAATCTGTACTGAACCATTATTTGGCTGTAACACACACACAATTAACAGAACATAACAAAGACATTTTTCTTTGGGTTCTGTGGGTTGAATGTGAGCTACTGATTATAACAAAAGGAGGAGACATGCTTGATCTGGACAAAATAGGCTTCCAGGTTTCATGTTATTAATATTCAGCATGATGAAGTGAGCTGCAGATAGATCCCTTGCTAAATTATCATGCTGGCCACAGCAAAGATAAATTAATGAGAATATTCTCACTGTGTGTCGCGCTCTCTCTCTGTCTCTCTCTCTCTCTCCCCCCTCTCTATCATGCACACACACACACACACTAACATCACTCGAGATTTAAAACCTTCTTATATATTTGCTGATAATATTAGATGAGTCACCAGTGCCATCTTTGAGTTAGGAATTGGGAGGACTCTGCAGTCAGTTAGGGTCACAGACTGTGTTACAAATACACTACAGACTCACACGCCCCTGAAATGGCTCACACACAGTATGAGCAAAAACTGAACATCATAAGCTTTAAGCTACAGCACATATACATGTAAGCAAAATTAAGCAATGAATATATGTTTTTATCTTGAGTTGCATTATTATTCTTAACTTTCATATACTCCTACTTCCCACTATTTTATTCTATTTATTTATTCATTTGTTGTATTTGTCTTTTGAAAGTTTTTGGGGAAAAAGCTATCAAAATACATTTGGATTAGAATGAAAATATTATATCTTATTTGTGACACTGAGAAATGCAGTTGCATGACAATATAACCTACAATAAATAAAGAGCAAACATACATAAAGAAGGAATATCAGTAAGAGAAGCTGCCGAGCAACTTCAGCTAAATGATCTGTATGTACCAGTGTACTTCACCGCCTGATCCCAACATCATTTTTGAACCAGTCAATTAAAATGCCTGGTGTGTTAGTACTGTACATGGCAAAATGTATTTTGAATTCTCTATGAATCCCAGTGAGGTTGTAAACATCATGATAATACAGAAAATAAAAAGTTTGGGGCTCATGCAGGGTGACTAGTGCTCAAGTACCTGGTGGAACCACAGGCACTGACACTCACAGGTGCAGCTTGTCCCCTTTGAACTTGATGTGCACAAAGTAACCAAGCTGTTATTAGTTGTAATTAATAGTTGATAGTCAACAGGTGTTGACTCAGTTCACATGACTGTACTGTGCTGACACTGACTGAAGGTTCACAGCTGGACTCCCACAGGCAGGAACCTTAAATTAGCTCTATTATAGAAAATTTTGCCTGTGGAGGTAAAACACACGGCTGTTAGCTCAGACTGTGAGCGTTTCCTCAGTGGATACCCCTGACTCAGTCAACAGTATGTGTGAACATATAATTATGGAAGCATTTGCTAACCGTGTCAATGCTGGAGGCCATGATTACCTCAGCAAGCTGCCTTGGTGTTTCGAGATGGCCTGTGTTACACAGAGAGAGTGAGTGGGAGGGGAGGTATGAAAAACCAGATGGCACTTGTTTCCTTAAAGGCTGTTATTGTGTGACTGAGGATTGTTGCAACTGGAATTTGAATAGAGGGGCTATGGGTTTCCTCAGGGCATGCTGAAATAACAAGCTGTAACCAGGAAGATATAACAGGCAAGGAAGAATGGAAAGAGCAGAGAGACATAAAGAGAAAGTGTGCAGAGATAGAGCTGGAGGAAATAAGAAGGATGCCTCTATGCGTAATTGTATGTACTAATTGGCACCTTGGCAGTCTCATTCGCTGGCAAGCCCTCCATTAGACTGGCAACAGTTGGCAGAGGGTGACACCCACCAAGGGTTTGTGTCACCGCTATATGCCAGACACTCAGGGGGGATTGGAGAGGTGGAGTTAGGCCAGAGGGAGCTCATGAAAAGATAAGAATGGAGAAAAGAGCAGTTTCACCTTTGCACATGTAGTGCAGGGTCATTTTAGGGATGCACTGTTCTGATATATCTGTTGTTAAAATGGTTCAACCTCTTGGTACTTTAGAAATGAAAACTTATTGTGTTCTTGTCTGAATGCTTGAAATATGAACTAAAAATCTGAAAAACAAGTACCAACTGGTGGTTTAAGTCTCCTTCAGAGAGGCTTGTAAAAGATAAAAGATGAGGGAAACAGAGAAGAGAGAACTGGCTGTTGTGAGGAATGAATGTTCAGGTTTAGATTTTAGAGATAAAATAAGATGTATCTCCAGGGCTTAGAATTTTTGAGATATGTTTGTCATGACATCAGAAAAGTTAAGCTTGATTTGTATCAAAGTGCATTCGTGACATGCAAGTTTTAAAAAGGTCTCAAGAGGTAGTTGTCTTCTCATTGCGCTGCTCTTTCACTGCTAAACAGTCCTGATGTAAATGTCCATTTCAGTTACAGACACCTTGATTTAAAAAGCTTCCTTTTTAAGCATTTTATTAGATAGTCTGCAGTATAGTAAAGACAGGAAATGAAAGCGGAGAGCAAAATGGGAGATAACGTGTAACAAAGGTCAGACTGGGAATGTTACATTTACATGGCTGGCATCTCACTCCACCAGGATGTTCCAAATGTCAAATTTCTTTTCATTTTGGTTCATACCTAGTCATGAGGCTAAAATATGAGTGGTAGAGTTGTCTCAGGCCCCCGGTGTTAATAAACAGAGAGAATGTGTCTCCTTTGGTCTGTAGACAGATACTGTATATGCAGCACCCATCAGTTCTTATTCTTCACTAGGTGTCAAAACTGTATTATTTTTATTCTGTTAACTATTTGTGTCCAGGAGAGAGAACAAACGTGAGCTTCATATCGATCACACCACCCTTTATCTTTACTGTACCACCAAGACAAATTAAGAATATTTTGAGTTTCTTAGCCTTTATATATTTACATTTTCCTTTAGATTTTTTTTAACCTAATCCTCTCTTCACCCGAGCCCCTTCCCTCCTCTTCTTTCTTCCCCCCTTCTTTCTTTTCATTTCCATTTTTCCATCTGTCACACACACTCACGTACAGAAGCAGAGACAGACCTGTTCTTTCCAGTTTTATTTTCCATCTGTTGACTGATCGACTGATGAGTTCAGACACAGCAGGGGTGGATGTGTCCCCCTGAGCTGTTACTGTGGCGACTGAGGACCCCGCCTCAGGTCAGGCTGTCATTGGCTCCTGTCCTGCTGCTTCTCTGCTCAGTGTCTCTACAATTAGACCATAGTGGGTTTTTTTCTTATAGCTTGATGGGAGAATGTGCTTATACGCCTGCTCTTTGTGTTTATGTGCATGTATGACAGAAAAAGGAACAGACAGAGTGTTGGCAACACTTTTCTTTCACTTTTCAACAAGCCTTAAATCAAACAAAGGGAAACGTGATTGCAGTGAAGTATGTGTGTGTGTGTGTGTGTGTGTGTGTGTGTGATTAATGGCATTCAAAAGACATCCTCCTGGTAAAAGTGATGTTTTAGCTGAGATCCTGAATTAAGTCAGTGAATAATGATGATGGTGTGGAGGAAATTGACAGTCTAACAAGCCCACTCTCTGTCTCTGTATAATCTCCACCCTC